GATGGTATGATATATGATCTTACTTATTTCTTGTAGATAAATATATAAAACAAAATTTGTTTATATTATATATATGTAGATATACGTATGTATTTATANGGCTANAAATNTGTNTNTTGTGGATTTTATATTCGTAATTCTTGTGATATAAGAAACATATAAGAAAGAAATGTTATTACACAATGTAAGTAAATCACACTACGTGATAAAAGCACATGATTTTTTCAGATTACTAACGAAGTGTTTTTAAATAAACTGTCGGATACACATTACATGGTAAATGTATTTATAAATTATATAAAGTATTATATATATTTTAATTTAAAACATTAAAATTGAAGAGACATTATACATAAAATATTATATTTAATATTTTTTTGGAATTGTGCGTTACATTTGTTCTGTTTTTTTCATATATAGCTTATTGTATATATGTAAACTAGTAGTTTTTTATTTTTTTAATTAAAAGTATAGTTCGTGGGTTGTCTTCAACAAAGTTATGCACAAGTGTATAACATTTTGTAAGAAATACATTTTGTAATCTGTTTTAGGATCCATATGTTCTCGATGCCATTAAAAAGAAAGTTGAAAATCGTCGTAGTTTCCTAAGTGAAATGCAAACTATACTTCGTTTTAAACCCGAGTACGTTTTTAATTACAAACACATGAAAATATAAAGTTTTTTTTTAGAATGTGTTTTTTTGCATGTAAACAAACTATTTTAGTTAAAGGAATTTATCAGGTTAATGTATCGTCATTTGTAAGTTTCTTTTGTTTAAATAAGTTATAATTTATGATAACAAAACTTGCTGATTATAATTAAAATCGGAAATACATTTTTTGGATTTTAATATGTAATAAGGAGTTACTCATAAAATGAATACGTTTTGTCAGTAAGATGTAATACTTATATACACGCCATTGACTATGTATATGTATATTTATGTACAGCACACATAAATATATGAATATACACATTGCTACCTAAACGCACAGTATCTAAGTATAGACATCAATGACAGTAACAGAAAAGTTTATATTATGTAATATCGTTCACTGTTATGGAAATATAAATATAAAGTTAATTAATAAGTAGTATGTACAAACTGTTATGTGATAAGTTATAATTTATTATGTTTGTTCTAAAAGAAGATAGTTATTAAAGAAGTTAAAATAAAAATGTTATTTGCACTAGATGTTTTGTATTACTTTTAATGTCTCCCTAATTGATTTGACTATGCAATTAGTTTCAATAA